GGCTCTCAGACCTGACGGAGAGCTCTGTGGTATTGCGTGCCAAAGTGGTGCTTGATGTGGGCCAGCTTTTCCAGGCGGCATGCATCTGGGCCTCTGAGTACATTCATGTCCAGAACCTCATTGGCATTTTGGGGTGGAGAGTGGAGAGCCCAGAACAAGAGAATCTTCGTGGCAGGCAAAACATCTGTGCCTCCGATCAAGAGCCTTGCTTGGGCTGGGCCAGAAGACAGACAGGGGGCAGGGGGGTGTCCTGTGGGCCGCAGACCCATTCTAGCAGCCCCCTTGTGCCCGAGCGTCACTAGGATCCTGGCTGAGAAGGGGCTGGGTAGCCCTTGGTCTACACGCAGCAAGACACGCCCAGAATCACTCGGCACAGATCAGCGGTGCTTCGGTCTCCAGAGCCAGAGGGCACTAAAGTACACAAGCACATTGGGCTGCCGCCGTTTGGAGAAATAAAGCGCTGGCAATGCCAGACCACGATTAAGGCACCAACCGCCAGGTCAGTCCAGACGAGTGGCTCCTCGGTCCCTGCTTGGGACAATTTCAGCCCGTCCCTTGCCGCACGGGGTAGCCTGGCCTGCAGAGGCTGCCCCTGCAGGCTTCTCTGGCGTCTTGAGAGCAAGGCCACTGAATGGGGCAGAAGGAGAGCTGGGTCTCGGGGGTGTTTTTCAGAGGAGCCCTGGCCCTGGGAGGTGAGGCCGACGGCCTGGGCCTGCTCTGCATCTTGCTCCTGGAAATGTAGAGCATTATGATGCTGGACTCGGGCAAAAGGAAGCACCCATGCCTGTGTCTAAAAATACCTGAATGCTGTCCAGGAGTTGGTTTGTTTTTGCTAGCATATTTCTGCCAAACACCAATGTTATCTCATGAGAAAATGAGTGTTTCTGTCTAGCAAGTAGAGGACGGCTAATGGAAGGTATTTTTAGCTGCAAGGCCACCGTGGAGCTGGATAAGGGTCGATTGTTTTCCATGGTGAAAAAAAATGCTGCAGTTACATGAAGTTAATACTTTGGAAATGGCTGGAGAGTGCAACAGGTTTGGGGCTCTTGTGAATCATTCCTTTGTCTGGGGCTGTGGCACAGAACGCGGCTGAAATCGCTTGAAAGTGCCTGTCATGGCCCTGAAGGGGTCACGTGCAGGGCAGAAGCAGCAGGCTGCATCCTGGGGGCAGATGCCATCTGTGGGGGGCCTGCTGGGCTCTACCCCTGATTTGGGGGAGCTGCAGCAGGGGGACTCTTTCACCCACTCCTGGCCTGCAGGCTCCCAGCCTTCCTTTCCTCTGCCTCCTGTCACTGAGAAAAATTAACCTGACTGACTAGAAATGTCTTGGAAGCTAAGACACCACCAGCAGCTGCATTAATTTCCTGCCTTTTCTTTTCCACTCGTGAGGGACCCAAGGCAACTCAGATACCTCCCATTTCATCCTCAAAACAACAACCCTGTGGGGCGGGTTAGGCTGAAAATGAGTGACTGGCCCGAGGTCAGCCAGTGAGCAGCTTGGCCAAATGGGGACTGGAGCGGCTGTGTCCCCAGGCCAACTGGTTCCCCACCTGTATCAAAACAGTGACCTGAACCTGAAAGCACTGGCACTCACGATTTCCCCTGCCTTTTTTCTTTCCTTCTGCCACATATCTGCATGCATTCAGGAAGTTTATCAAAACCGAAATGCCATGTCTTGGAAAACCACTTCCTGCCCATTGGAAAGAAACCACTTGGAAGCTGTTAGAAGATGCTGATTTTTAAGTGGTCCAATGACATCAGGGAGGGGAGGGAACCACTATCCCCCGCCCCCAAAGACATCTCTGAAGCAGGGGCAGTTCCAACTCTTCTTGAATAAGGAATGACCCCCTTAACCTCTGAAGCCAGACCTTATGAGGCTTTTAGAGTGGGAGGGCGTTGGGGGAAGCACAGCCCTGCAGAAGTGCCTAGGCTCACGGAGCCCCCACCGTTCTTTTGGGAGTTTCAAGTGGGTCTGAGCAGGCCCTGGGTTCAGCCCTGTCCTCTTCCCACAGAAGGGGGTCTGCCGTCGAGACCACAGGCCTGTCTCTGCTGTGACGAGAAGGTGGTGTCTGGGCCTCAGGCCATCCCGTTCTCCCTCTGGCGGGCGCCCAGAGGTGAAGGAAGTCCAGACAGGGTCTCACATTTGGAGCAGAGCAGAGTGGCGCTAGCAAGACCAGGCCTGGCACAAGTTGACCCTTTAAAGCCTTTTGATGTGAAGAAGGCATTGTGCTCTGTAACAGCTCGTGTGTTACTTTTATGGCCTGAGAATGTGCAGCCCTGGGGCGACGCAGTGTTTCCAGTGCTTGAGGGCCAGCCGGCCACTTCTGTCCTGATGTCAACTTGGACACCAGGTTGACTCGTAAACGTTGCCTTAACGGCCAGCTCAGACTGAAGCGTCACTTTGCTCAGAGGAGATGCTCTCTGAGGGCTTTATGGGGCCACCCATATAAATATCAGACCTGATTCTTGCCTCTCCCACTTGTGTGCGAGAAGAGTGGCATGGGGAATCCACGCAGGTGTGCAGCCCACAATGGGGCACGATCGCTCCTGATTCTCACCCTGCCATGTGTGCATTAGGGCTTCCCCAGGAGCATGTGGAGGGGTGCTGCACAGCTGATCCCCCTCTTGCTGGAGTGTATCAGGCGCTGCCCCCTGCCCCCCAACCAAGCCCTCTGGAGCAGGGGGCTGAGATGCCCAATCAGCTCCCTCATTCTGCCTGCTGAACCTCAGGGCAAAAGCCCCTCTTGCACAGCAGAGACTGCTTGGCTGAGAGGGGAAGTGGCCAGCTACCACGCCAAACCTGTCTGTCTCCCAGGCACATCCACTGTGGAAACCACATGGGCTTGTTTGTTGTGACATGTGAAAACAGCCCTTATGCTAAAAACCCGATTTCATATCACATCTATCCTTGTTAAATCTGGCAACACAAGTCAATTTAATTATAAAAGTACCGAAGAGGATATGGGAACATCAGTGAATAATTATATACCAAGGGGCTAATCCGGACACTGGTGGTTTTGCATTTTTCACAAACAAGTGGTTAGAGCTTCCCAGTCAGTTCCCTGAGTGGAGCTTGCCTCAGAGAAATGCCAGAAATTTCACACAGCTGATTTTTCTTTGTGCAACATTGGCAAAAATGCCTGGCTACTTCCAGCAGCATCTTGAGGTCCCAAATATGGAGCTCATTAAGAAAGTGTAAGCAAACAGTACCCAAGGAATTGGGCTTTACAAGCCAAGGGCTGAGGGTTAAATGTGCAAGCAAAGCTTCATGTGATCACAACAACCCTGACAGGAGCAGTGGAACCTGTGTGTGTGTGTGTGTGTGTGTGTGGGAGGGAGGGAGGGAGGGAGGGAGGGATGTTGTTCCAAACCTGCATCCATTTCTAGATAGATTCTTGTCTGAAGAACTTTAGCACAAGAAGCACTTCTGACCCAAGTTTTCATGCAATGAAAATGGCTCAGCCTGCTCCTCAAGGTTCTGCTCTTTTGGTCAGATCTCCTAAAAGTGGTGTCCTTCAAAGCCCAAATTCATCAACTGTCCTTTGTAAAAAGCACCATCTCTTTACACACAAACCTTCCTGGTGTGCAAGAGTCAGCCAGCCAGCATCACGCAGCAGTGACTGCAGGTTTCAGAATCCCTGGCTGAAGGGCTGGCTGGGCCCTTCCCACCATGGGCTCCCAGAGCTCCTGATGCTATGATCTGAAGGTAAACCCTTGGCTTGAACTCTTTGCTCCGATTCTGGTGGGTGGCCCCTCTTTGGAAGCTGAGGGATGCTGCATAAAGGCCAGCCACACAGGGGAAAAAACAAGGGCTACCTGATTCTGTACCATTCATGATGCTGAGCTCCGTCATCCCAGTAACTTCACTTTGTTGCATTGGTGCTATTTTTCATGCAGATGCTCAGGGAAGATTCGCCCTCCATCCCCACACAGCAGCCACTGAGACTGAAATCCACAGAGGGCCTCTGGCTCTAAGCTGTCGCTTGGACTCCGTTGCTAGGATCAGAACTCTAGAATGGACACGGAGAACAGCCTCGCTGATTCCAAGGATGCTGCTGACATGGGCATTATTTTTTGTGGGAAGCCGATAGTGTCATGGTCATACCGTTCCATAACCCAAGGAAAGGTACCACCAGGCAGGCGGTACCACCAGATTAGACCAATGCATTTTCCTCTCCATCTGGAATAGCCCATTTGTCAGGTGAGTGAATTTAAAATGCCTAGTCAAGATCTAGCCATTGTAAAGTGCTCTGCGTTTAAACAAGGTTCTCATTTCTCCTTAGGAGGATTGCAGTGAAGTTCAAGAGGCTACAAAGGATTCTGGGCAGATGGGGGAGGCAGATGATGCCCACGTCCTGCTCAGAAAATGTGCTGGCGCCACCTCCCTGTAAGACCTGGGTCCAGTACACCACTGCCAAAAGCCCCCCTTTCCGTGCTGCCCTCCACACACACATTCCTCACACAATCGTTCGACATGAAGCAACAAGCAAGAATCACCCGAGGAAGCGACATGGGAGAGAAAGGGAGTCCAAGCAACTTCTCATTTTGTGTGCATTGTACATTAGCTGAGAGTGTATCTCCTGAGAGACTTACCTTTCTTTACTTGCCCCACACTAGCCACGGATCCCTTCCTTTTTCCCCCAGTCTCTCTCCTCTGGCTGGGAAAGCGAAGTCCCATCCTCAATGACTCCTCTTCCCATTCTACTTGCTGATTTCTAGCTTCCTGTTCCATCTGAACCAAACCTGTGTGTGTCTTTTTCAGATCTTTTAAAGCACCAAATACAGAATCCTGAAGAAATGGATTTAAAGTGGGCACATTAGTTTCCCTCAAATTTCAATGCAGATGAATGTTTCAGAGACATTTAAACTACAAACTCCTAAATTTAGGAAACAACATAGCCTATTCAAGTCATTCCTTGAATTAATGTACAGAAACAGTAGTGCTATAAACACATCTTGGCATTAGATATGTATAAAAAAGTTACCGATAATACAACAAATTTAAAAAAGATGGCACATTTATTGCTACATAAATGTTATATACATAGTGTTTTCTGTTACATTGACAGAAAAAGTGTTGAACTTCTTGCTGCTGGTTGAAAAAGTTTATCAGTAACATCTTGAAATTTGACACAGGATACAAATTTGCAATAAACCAACAATGGGAACTGAATAACAAGGTGAGAAGCAATTCATCTCAGACAAGTAGCTCGTACGATACTCCATAAGGTACTACACAGTATGCTAGAACCCTACTATGCTCTTACAATGCTATTGTAAATTTCTGATATTAATGAACAGGTTATGGTAAATAACCCTACATTTTTACTACCTAATATAGTAAAATAAAGTAAGAAAATTTTTACTGAAAACCTTTTTTGATTTCAAAAATCTAGAAAGAGTAATATTTAGAATTCAAGAAACTTTCTTACAAGATTATTGTATAAAAGACTAGCTACAGTGAAAAATAAGCCAAATGTTTTCTCTTTCTCTCTCTTTCTCTCTCTGTTATGAAGGACAAACTGCAAAGTCTAATATAGCCATGAGACAATAAGCTAGGAAGGAAAAAGGCCAGGCAGGGGCAGCCGAGGACTTGCACACGTCATCATAAGCAGAAGCTCACTGAGCTGAGACACGCCGAGAGGAGGAAGAGCAAGGCCGCCAACATTTGCCAGGTGTTGCTGGAGGACAGATGCAAAGGCCTGGCAGCCGCCTGAAAACAGTGATTTGCTAGGAACCCTCTGAGGCATGATCTCAAAATCGCAACAACATTTTTGTTCTTTTCAATGCAGTGAGATTATTCAAAGAGTGAGTGGAGTCGTTCCTTCAGAGAGCGGAAGCAGGGTGCCGCTTGCACAAAAGAGAACGCTGCAATACTTGCAGGAGTTCTGCTCCGCTCTGCTCCGCTCCGCTCCCCCCACCCCCAGCTCTGCGGTTCTACAGTGGAAGACAATTTTTATGGAAGTTAAAGGAGTTGGATCAGTCCCAAGAGAGGCAGCAGTGAAGGTACACTTGGGCGGGGAGGCAGATGAAGCCACCCCACACCCTGACCGTGCGATAGATGCCTCTGCTCTTGCGTGCCTTGGGTGTGTGGCTGGCAGAATCCCTCCCCACCCCAACCTTCCCTGTTCACAGGTAAGCTAAACGTCAAGCCGTGCTATCAGGACAGCCTGGGACTGTGGCCCTCGTCTCCCAGTGACGGGATTGGCTCATCCCAACACCTGCTCATCAGAGGCTCAGAGCAAGCTCCTGCACCACAGGCCAGTAACCCTAATGTGTATTCAGTGGGGTTTGTGCTTACGTCCGCTGTGTGTGTACTTACTGCTTAAAAAACAATGCAGTTCTAAGCAGGTTCTCCTCCACTCAGCTGTGCTTTGCTAGGAACCCCGACAGTCTAAAGGCTTTCGCTGAGGCATCGAGGAGCTGCCGCCACCCTCTCTTCCGTTCAAGAAACGTCTGCCTGCACTCTTCCCCTGGACCTGAAAGGCTTCACGGTAAAGCGCAGTGCTGCGGCCGCGAGCATTTAATCGCAGAGACAGACCAAGGAAAACACATGTCAAGCGGGCAGAGGAGCTGGAAAAGACAGAAGCCCTTGTCCCTTCTTTCTTTTAAGACACTCGTAGGCATGTTGGGAATGTGAAGGGGCTGCTGCGGTGGTCGTGGCTTTGCTCTCGGAATGTGCTTTTGAACGCTGGCATCTCAACTGGACTATCAGCTTTGAACAGGTTAATTTTTCCCTTCAAATGTAGACCTTTATAGTTCTGTTACAAATAAATAACAATTTGTAGTTACAATGCATTTGTCAATTCGGTTTAGGCACAAGGCAACTTCCACAGCCAGTGGGAAGATTGAAGAGTCTCTGATTGTGCTGGAGCGGCATGCTGCGAACACGGCGACGGAGCAGGAGCAGGACGAGGAGATGTGCGGGGAATTTCCGGGGTCAGAATTCTCCAGGAAGGAGAGGCTGGCAATGCCACTCCGGATGCAGGTACTGACTAACAGCGTGGATCACAGGGCGGAGTTTGGGTTGCTTGCTTCTCTTCTCAGATGTGACCTCACTTAATGCTATTCTGAGTCTGTGTCCTTGTGAAGAAAAGGTCACCTTCTAGGCTTCCTCCCCATAATTCTGGAATTCTAGAGTACAAATTAAAGATGATATGAGCAAAAAGATGAAGGTACCTCAAGAACCTGTGTTAAATTTGTGAGGGATTAGATGGTCCATTAGCCTCAGATGGCTGATCTGCAAATGAGGCAGCAAATGTCGGGGTCCAGAAGCCAGCAGGGGGTGCAGTTCTGGGTGACAAAGCCTTTGTCGTGCGTTCAGAAGCCTCAGGAACAGCCCTGGGTCCCCCAGGGAGGACAAGGAAGCGATCCCGCCTTGGACCTGGAGAGCTGCGCCTCCAGTCTGTGCTGGCAATTGTGGGCTAGATGGACTGGGGTCTGAGGCAGCTTGAGGCAGCTTCCATTGCTCCTGCTGGTGGATCAAAACTCCTTCTGCTGGAGCAGCTGCTCCCAAACAGATGGCAAGACCCCACAGCCAAGAGGTGAAGCAAGGTGAACATCTCTGCCAGGGGCGATTTTCTCTCTGGGAGCACAGCAAACCCAGCACCAGAGCACCTGTGGTTTTCATGAAATGGAATGGGAAGCAGCTTCCTTGGGAGGCTCTGTCACCAGGCAGGAAAGCTCATGGAAAGACAAAGAGCTACCAAGAGCCCATATGCACTGACTGCAGGGAACCTCAGAAGTTGCCTTGTGCTGTGCCAGGCCTTTGGTCCACCTGGCTTAGTACTGGCAGCACTGACTGGCAGCAACACCCTCCAGGGTTTCAGAAAGGGGCTTGCCAAGGCCTAGCTGGAGATGCCACACCTTGGACTGCAGGCTTTCTGCACAGCGAGCAGGCGCTCTGCCTCATGAGCTACAACCTCTCCCCTCACTGCGGCCAACTTTCTCAGCCTACTATGAACAAGCTGGGCCACAGAGACTGGGAGGGAGGGGGCAGCAATCAGAGTAGCTCCATCAGGCCACGAGGACCAAGCCCAGTCCAGCTGGGTCACTTGCAATGGCTTTTGCCAGACCCCCCACTCCCCGCTCTTGGAAGTGGGTACAATGGAGCTGTGCAAGCACCTGCTGGGGTACCACCAAGAACTCCCAGATGTTTCCAATAAGGATGCTGCACTTTTTATTCACACTGGTCATTTTAACAAAACCGAGCGAGATACGGTGAACTAAAAGGGTACAGGCCTTCATTGCAAATTAAGCATTAGAGGTGGGTCTTGCAATTGCCAAACAGGGCTGGGCCACGTTTGGTTTGAGCCTTGTCCTGTGTGCCCACACATGCTTCAGCTCAGGGTCTTCAGAGCTCCTCCTCCCACTTACCTGGTGTTTACATATGACCCATAGGGTTGGTAGATTCACTGAGTCCAGGATGGCTTCCCGGGTGTGACGCTGGTGGCTCTGCTGATACGGCAGAAACTTTTTCTTCTTCCCTTCTCTTAAGGCAGGCTGCTTTGGGGTTTAGGTTCCTCTCTAAGAGCAAGATTTAAAAAATTACAGTTTGTATTAATGCATAGAAAATATTGTCTGGGTGGTTCATTTTGAAGACAGATAAACAAATCTGAGCAATCTATCTGGCTTCATCCAGCATGCTGAACGGAGCCCCTTATTCCTCCAGTTGTCTATCCCAGGGAAGGCGCTCCAAAGGCAGGTCACTTAAAACAATTAAAATGTGAGATAATTCTTTGAAAATCCAAAACTATAACAAAGCAACCATCTGGAATAGAATAAAACCAGGCTTACACTGCTCTTAGCTGCAAGCAAATGGAAGCAGCACCTTTTTAAAGGCCTGGCTGAAAGCCAACCCCGAGGGAGCCCCACCAGGGTGCACCAGCCTCCCAAGCAGCCTGCCACTCTGATTGATCCTGGTGGGGGCAAGTCCACAGGCCCTGGAGGCCGCCACCATAGTCTGGGCAACTCCACTGGAGCACAGGAGGACTGGTCCCAACCCAGGGCTCTCAACTGGGCTTGGAAAGAAATGGGAAAGAAAGGCTGCCTCTGTGGAAAATGAGAAGGTTAATACGTTTACACCAAGCTACTGAGGCCATGCACAAAAAGCAACCTCTCATCCATCCACTGAAGCCAGCGCAGCAAAGGCTGGGGGTGCCTCGGTCCTAGTGCTGTGGCACTGCGCCTGGCGCTGCGTAGCTGGCCAGGGCCTCACAATCGGCAGGGAGCAGCTCCTGTGTCAGCCCCGCTAAGGGTCAATCACCAAGAGCAGGAAACGGGCACGTTCCCCCACCACCTCAAGCCCTCCTCCTGCAGTCTTTAATGCGCCTTCACGCACACCTTTTCCAACATTTTTTCACTTGCGGTTAAGCAAGGTAAACCTAAGTTGTGCCTTGTCTACAAAGGCAAGGGAAAGCTGTGGGGGGGGGGGGGATGTCAGGGCCACGCTGCCAGGGCTGCTCCTGGCCCAGCTTGGTTGGGTGACCCCTCTCCTAGAATGGTTCTAATTTTGCTGGTCATTATAAGAATGATGACGCCCCTTCGCAAACCGGTGCCCGTGTTTCCTTCTCCTCCTTTCCCGGACCTTTCCTTTCTGCTTTGACACAGTGTCTTTTAGACTAAAGCCGGCAGGCAGACACTGCTGTGCTTTTCTGAATCCAAAACTGGAAGCCACCTGTGGGGGCTCTTTGGTGGATGTGTGGAATTGCCATGTTTTAAACAGCAGTTCCTGCTGCCTGTGTGCAGTGGAAGCCCCTCTGGAAGCATCCCTCGAAGCGTGCTTTCATTCATGCATGCTAGCTCCTCCAGCCTTCCCCCAAACCGCAAGAAGCACAGGCGCCTGGCTGCTGCACTGTCTTCCCTGGCACAGGTTAACACCATGTGACCCCACGTCTCGCCTTCAGCAAACTCAGTGGAGGCTGCGACCCACATGTCTGGGAAAATGGGCACGCGAGTGCTCCCAGGCCTACTGCCACCGGCACATTCAACACCATGTTTACCCTGATAGCTAGCCCTGCTTTCATTCCACAAAGAGTTCTGGGAGCACACATGGCTCCTCTTAATGTTTCTTCTCACAACAGCCCAGAAGGGCATGCTAGGGTGAGAGACAGCGACGGGCCCAAACTCGGCCAGTGAGCTTCAGGGCTGAACACGGAGCTGGGCCTGGGTCTCTCCAACCCAGCCCAGCAATCCGGGTACTGCAGCACCCTGACTCTGGTGGACACTTCTCCTCCCCCAGCCAAAAGATGTGATCTCGTGACTGGAAAAATACTGACATTGGTTATTCCCTCTCTACATTCAGTGGTGGTTTTGTCACTTCCGACACAAATGCTCTCAGCCCTTGTTTCCTTACAACATACCACTGGGAGGAGAGAAGCAAAATTAGGCCCAAGTTGCTGGCATAACCAACGTAACAGATGCAATGTCACTCAGTGATTTAGACCACTGAGCAGATATTAAAACTGACACCTTCCACCTCTCAAAGACATTTATATGTATACCCTGGGAAAGCATCAGATGAGAAAGCACAATACAAAGCACAGCTGTGTCCAGCCAGCCCGCAGGGAGAAATAAACAAGAGACAAAATGAACGGACGAACAAACGCGTGAACACCTCCTCTTTGGGGGAAGATGGGGGCTCTGAGGTCTGTTTCATCATTTCTTTGACACCGATATAAAAGGAGCCTGCATGTTAGAGGTCAACAGTCGCTCCAGTTCCACAGGAAAATGAGATTATAAAGAACTGCGCTTATTTTATAACCTGACCTCCAGAGGGGACTTTTCAAGGTTGACGCAGACAGGATATGGATTTGTTGGTACGAGTCAACGAGTCAACTTTGCTTCTAGTGGCAGCTGGTGACCCTCCCAAAGTCTGGCGAACCCCATAAGGATTATGATAAATGGACTTGACAGAATGTAATTTAAATAAAAAAAATTGCCCGTGGTTAGGATTCAAAGCTCCTGGTGCGCTGGCGTACACACAGGGCTCAGCACAAACATTCTCGACATGGAGGGCGGCAGAGCAGCCCTTCCTGCAGAGACCGCCAGGCATGTAGGGGACCCCCTTCCACGCACAGCACTTCAGTGGAATTCAATATCATTTGTTCCCTATGAAAACAATACAGCCTGCCTAAAAACTGCAGAAAAGATGAACCAAGATGACAAGTGCATTTTCAGTTTCATCTCTCCTCTGTTTCAATCTGTTTTAGCGCTGCAGTTTGCAAATACAGCCAAGAGCCAGCAAGTGGTGGGCTTGGAACTAGGAGAGCTGACTTAAATTCTCAGCTTAGATGGGGGACCTTTGGTTGCCTTGAGCAAATGGATCTGAGCCTCAAGCTGCCCTGTCATCATCAAGGGAACAGAAAATGACCCAGGAAAACCTGAAACATGCTTAATTTAAGACTGCGGAACTCAAGCTGGCAGAAACAAAGAAAACTCCAGCAAATTCCTGGAATATTTCTAGAATGCTTGGGGGACTCGGATCGAGTTCTCTGGCAGAAGGCATGCAGGTGGTTCTCAGGCTGCCTGGATGGAAACCCATCAACCTACTTGGCAAGTGACAGAGAAAACCCCTGCATGCAGCTTGAATGCTGTATGTGCACACATAAAGCATTCAGACAGCACACAAAGACTGCATTGCCAGCAGACAACAGGATAAATCTTGGTTTGTTTTCTTAGCCCCTGGGTTGTTTCCCTCCTCTTTCAACCCCTCCCTCCCTGTGATGAAAACACTATTGTGCCACTGCAGTAGAGCATTTTTAATCACACTTGTCCGCTACCTTTGTAACATGGTGAAACTATTCATGAACAACCACAGCTCTGGGTTCACATGTAACGGCAACTCACGATTTAAACAACCCAGAGTTAACACTGGGCTGCTTCAAACCATTGGCTTTCAGTGTGTGGTGGTGGCCACTTTGAAAGTCCAGTCTCCAGCAGGTGGGAGGGGGTTTGTCCAGGGTTATCATGTACCTGAGCCCAGATAGCAGGAGTTATCTGAGGATTAACTCTACAGCAGACTACTGGCTCAAAGTGACTGCAGGCTTGTGCTGCAATCTTGGTGGGTTGCAATTATCATTCAAGAGAGAAAGAAAGGGAGGGAGGGAGGGAGGCTCACCCCTGACTTGCTGCTCCAGACTGAGGATGACTGCCACCGCCTGGTGAAGAATAAGCAGCTTGGTCTGAGGTTTTTCACTCTTCAGGTGAAGTTGACACATCCGTCCCAGCTCTTTGAATGCTTCATTAATATCTCGGACCCGCAAGCGCTCACGAGCATTGTTGGCCATTCGCCGTTCCCTTTCCCTCTCCAGCTTCTGTTCTGGGTTCAAGTCCTCGTCTTCATTCATGCTGCTGTTGACGCATAAGTGGGAGAGGCACCTGAGGTGAGTATGCTCAGGGACACCTGTCCTCCCTCGGGCATGGAGCTTTCCACAGGGCGCTTCTAGTAACAAGTGCTCTCGTTCAGCTCTTTGGCGTGCGTGCGTGCGTGCGTGTTGCATGAACAAGCATCCATTTCTCGCTCTAGGGATTCCCCCAGCGCTAGCCCTGAGTTACTTCGTTCCACGCATGAGTGATGTCTGTGCAAGACTTGTGTAAGCCTGTGTGATTATGGCCCCCCACAGCAAAGGGCAAATTTGGAGATTCCGTGCTCCAAAAGTGTTACCACAGCTGAAATCTGCAAGCAGCAGACTTGTTGGCAAGAGCACATCCTGAGTGAACTCCTCAAACCCACGCAGCCCACAGCAAAGGGCGGAATGCACATTCCTGCTCTTCGCCTTTCTATGGCTTATTTGTGGAAGTGACATTTTCCATGTCTTGCTAGTTATTTTGCAAAGGTCGCCCCATCCCTGCCTCTTATATTTACCAGTAGCCCAAACCACTTAAGGAGAAGGGGGAGAAGTGATGCTTCCTCTGGATGGGCAAGGAGAAAAGTGGCAGCCTTACATGAGCCTGCTGCCTTGTGAACTGAATTAGACCCCTTCCAGAGGTGCACAGAGTAAACATGTTCTATTCGGGGTGCAAGGCAAGCACACGGTAGATCGGGGTCTCTTAAAACAGGTGGGTCATCAGGGGGGACAGCATACTCCCTTACACAAGGCCGGGCAATGCAATGCTGACTAGAAATCCTCAAAGGATGGAAGTGTATGCCATCCTTTGTGACATATCAGATGCAGTGGGTCTCATCCTGGAGGAGCAACAGAGGGCTGCAGCTGCACCACTGCTGGTGACAGTGAATTGCCCTGCCCGTGGGGGAATGGACCATGAAACTCACACGAAAGACTTCTGAAGCACTGGCTTTTTTTTAATTCACCATTCGGTTATTTTGTCACTCACTCAATTATCATCCCTGAAATTTGCTAGTGCTATTTCTGACGATGGCCCAGAAGTGAGTTCACCACTCTAGATTTAGTCTCATCCCTGGAAGGAAGAGGCATGCAGAGAACCAAATCTCCCAGGAGAAGGCGCAGGGTGCTGTACCTTGTTCTTCCCCTTGACGAAATCTTGATATCCTTCTGGGAGGACTCGTCGTCAGATTTCATGTCATCAGAGGAAGCGGGCTCATGAGCATTTTCATCCTTCTCCTTGTGTTCTGACTTGATCTCAGCTGGTCCTATAGCCACTGACTGGGCTGGCAACCCAGCTGACAGCACTGCAAGGAAAGCCAAGGCAGATAACTGACAACAGTGAAACCTTAAGTCCCATGTTCAATTTATCTTCCTAAGGGGATAAGCACCCAACAGCTCTCTAGCTCGTGGAGTATATGCAGAAAACAACTGAAAAGCAAGAGAAAGAGCAGGGGGAATGCTGTAAGATGGTATCAGAATAAGTTCCATGCCTGTGCTCCCGGGGCTCCAATGCTTAGCTTGGGATCTGCACCCTCCCTCAAGCAGGCTGGCAAAGGCAAACCCAGCTGGAACGTGACTTACCTCTGTAGGTTTCTGATGTTTTGTGATTCAACTCTGCATTCTGGGCAGGGAGGCTGGCAGACAATCCGGAATGGTTGCTACCGAGGTTGAGGCTCTCTTCCCGGTGAGTGCTGACCTGAGTCAAGGGAAGCACAGCCAGAGACCATAACTCAGCTTGAGGAAGCAGTCAGTTCTGGGGCATTTTTCTGATGGGCTGATCCCAACTCTTAGGCTGCAACCACAGGTGTGGCTGGCTTGCAGGGGGCACGGAGCGCTGGGAAACTGACGGGACTCATATCTGAGCCAGCATGCGTGAAACTGAGCTTTACAGAAGCAGAATTCAGATTAGAAGGATACGCTTTCATTGAGGCCTGTACAAGAGAACTTCTCACCAGACTGTGCCTCAGGTGACCACGAGTCACTCTGACACTGCCTCATGCTTGCCCATGTATAGTCTGTGCAGCATCCGAGCCCTCTAGCCAGGCTCTTGGCCCTGTGAACGCAGGTCCTTCATTGAGAGTAATCCAGGGATTAATCCAAGGTCTTCTGGCCAGACAGCATGGATCCTGCCATGGAGTGCTGGCCCTTCCTGGGATACAATTGTTCCCACCACAAAGGTTCAGCAGCAGTGAAGTTGAAAGCCAAAGCAGGAGGGTTTGGAAATGCAATCAGTTCACGCATCTGAGGTCCAAAGACTGAAAGGAAACCTTTGTTCTCTTTAACCACCTGAGAGACCTCTCCTTGCTGTATCAGTGTTCTCATCATACATTTTGCTGCTGCCCTGGCAGGGCAGCTGGCAGGCTTCACAATGAAACCTTGCTTTCCGACACTGCAAAGACAACTGTGCCATTAAAGCGACTGGTTCAAAGCTCAGTTCTCCTCCTCTTAAAAACATTACTGGGACAAACAAAGGCATCTCTAGTTTTCAGTTATTTAAGACTGGCCTCCATGCCAAGCTATTATACAGAGGATAAAGCCCTTTGAAATCCATCTATGAAACGTAACCTAAACAAGGCAATTAAAAATAAAATTGAAATGAGAAAGGGGGCTCCCATGCATTTTACTACTATTATCATCCAAAGATGAAGCTTTTTATTGGAATGAGTGTCAGTGAACAGCAGCTCAAATATTAAGCTTTTAATTAAAAAGGTTTATTGCCCACAGTTACGCATGAGAACCCCTGTTTTCCAATAAATCCTTCAATCCTAGCAAACTGCTGAGCTTTGAATCCCTCTTGTGTAATTAATGCAGCTTTTCCCTTTAACATCTTAGTGTGGATTTTCCTCAGACAGAGACAAATACCCTGAATGCAAGCCCATGCTTTAATCTACACTGTTTCCTGTAAATTCCAGTTCATCCCAATTCATTGCTTTTGTTCTTGGTCTGACCCATGGCCAGAGCCATGCTAGCCAATGTCTGATTCTCCTTTCGCTGCAGAGGAGTGCTTTGCCCTGGTGAGCGTGAAGTTTGCATTACTAGGAGCCTCCAAGACAGGCACAGCCAGCAGGTAAAGCAAACCAGCCTCCACACAAAGACAGCTCAAGACTCATTCTGGGGACATGGGGTTAAAAAAAGATCCTGCTAAACTCTGCCCCAGAGGTATCATATTTCTATGTTCTAGTTCGCTCAAATCCAAAGACAGGGTGTTTTTATTCAAGCTGCTAACTATGAGATGCTTTAGGGGCAAGTGAGCTTCAGAATGGTCTTATAACACTATTCCTCAAGCCATATGCAACCCCTGCAGCTGTCAGTTCCTTTGTAGTGTTAAAATCTAGGGCTAATCTGATGGTGACAGACTGACTGACTGAGTATGAAATTCAGAAAATGGTCTGCAAAGTGTGAATATGGAGTTGAACTTCTCAGACTATATGATAAAGGAGACCAAGCCAACGATTTGGATTAATGGCATTTCTGCCAAAATATTGACACAGTGATAAAACACATGTTAAAACAAGTACAATGTCAAACAGTGATCTGCTTAAATGAGTCCTTCTGCATTTGATGAAAGCTAAACATATTACACCATCAACTGAATCACAATAAACAGGTACTTCCTATGCAAGATGCGTGCACATCATGCTAAGTACTGGGATGTTAAGATTAAGGACAGAATTCTAACTTTGCAACAACAGTTAGCTGCATTTAGTTACCCCAGTAAAGCAGAATTGAGCTTGATGGGGTGGATTTAGGCGAGCTCTGGGCCCACATGCTCCCCCTTCCCTGTGAGGAGCAGTTTAATTTTCTTACATCTGAACCTGGCAAACTTGATTTCAACTCTAGTTTGTCTGAACCAAGGCTTATGAAGTTGGCTTGTTTCAACCAAACCAGAATTAACTTGAAACACTGTTTAAGTTTTGATGCAGTGCTAAACTGTGCTAAATCGAAGATGAAACTTCCAATTTCTTATATTTGCCTGTGTTGAGGGCCAGGACAGGGGGGACACATGTCAGCCAAAAGCTTGACAAGGCACGTTACCGTCATAATAAACCATGCTTATCGTAATGTCTGATCAAAGCCACTGACTTGCCAATTAATGGAACAGTTGATCATGCTGTTCCCAACAACTGTACATTGAAAAAAGACTTGAGGAAGGGAGCAAAGGAGTGAGCCACCACTGTCCATTAGCTCAGTCACATACAATGTACACTATGCTATCTTCCACAGGCTCCACATGTGTCACTTAACTCTTTCCTATCAGACACTTGCTGGATCTGCATGACGCAGCAATCCTTGAGTGAAGACAGCACGCTCACCATGTGATGTGCCCCACAGAGGGCTATTCTGTCATGTGAGCAACCCCATACATCTCTCATTGTCCAAGCAATACCTTTAGTAGTTATTTACGAAATAACAGAAGTCCATGTTTTCCTAAGCAAAATGGGGCCAACACAATAGGATGTGTTTCAGCACAAAAAGGAAACAAAAGCCATCTCCGTAAATTGTATGAATGTCAAGATGGTCTGTTCACTTGCAAAACTGTTGTAAAAATGGCTTATTTCAATAAATTACCTGCTCAAAGGATAAACAAGATTTTGAAACAACATTTGGCGAATCAGCATAAAGACAGAATTCTATGAATATTAATTAATTAATATGAATGAATAAGATACAAATGCAGGTGTTCAATTTTCAGGGGCAGAAAAGCAATGACCTGACTGTACTTTTCAGAGGTGCCCATTAAAAAAAAAAAAAAACCACACAGGCAAATGAAAAAAGCTAATAATTGGAGTGCAGAGGGGGAGGCAAAGTAGGTTCTGCTGCAAAGAACCCTGGGATACATGCCAAAACTGGCTGGAGGACTGAAGCAAAGGGAGACGGAAACGCCTCATGATAAACTCAATTATCTGTCAGGTATGCGGCAGGCTGTTCAGTGAACAACTCACCCACCATTGCTCATTCCCAGGGTGGCTCAGAGTGCCTGACCAGTTCTGTTAAGAGTGGTCTGACTGCAACTGCTTACAATTTAGCTGAACCCTAAACAACATGATGAATGACAGCAATCAAATTTCATTGGACCAGAGGGTTACTGACATTTGTCCCCTAAAACCTGTCGTGGTGAGCAGACACCGCATCTCCAAGAATGCCTCTCCCAGCACAAGCAATTTGTTAAGTAAGGCCAGAGGAAATCACCTTCCATCTAAGAGCCTAAGGCTCTGAACAGGCTTGCTGTGCCATCAAGTTGTGCGTCACTGGTGCTGGGAAGCTTTGGAGAAATAATTTCCGGATGCTTATTCTGCTCTAGGAAAAAATAAACAAAATAAAATCCTATTGGGGACTCTTCTCTAAGACACTGTCCCTGGCTGGCACTTGCTCCATCCTCATAGCAGGTGCATCCCAGGGACAGCACCTGGAGAGCGTGTCCACGCTGCGCTTACTGAAAGTGCACATTTCCAGAATGAAACCATTTTGAGCTAAGCTCATAAATAATATAAATTAATGACATTCCACACATTTGGCGTCCAAAAGTGGGGCTGCCAAACCACTGACAACCCCTCTAGTTCGTTGTTTGGGCACCTCAGAGATGCTGTCAGGGGCTGCCAAAAGTCATCTCTGGGGATGGGGGGGGGGAGGGGAAAAGGCGGGGGAGCTACCCTGAGTCAAAATAGCTCCGTACTGCAGTGGGAGAGCGGCCTGAAGTGCAAGGTCCCCTGGAGCACTGGCTGGCAGATCGGGAGGATGAAGGAGGCGAGTGACAACCCAAGGTGAAGCTGACTGCACTGAGCATGAATGGAAGCATGCCAATGGGTATCGCATCTGCCCATTTCTTGGAAGTTTCTGGCATGTCTGGCAAGGCAGTGGCTGAGAGACTGCTTCCAATTTCAGCTCAGAGCTTCCTGGCTGTTCCAGAGCAAGCCAGATTCTTTCCAGCAGAACACAATGGCAAATAATAGCACTAAAATGTTTCCAAACATGAAATAGAAAGCATGGTGGGTTACTTTTAGAGATTAAAATTGAAAGTGTGACAACCAGCAAAACAGCAACACACGCACGCGCACACTCACGGGGGGGGGCAGGGAAGCAGGAAATTAATTTTAAGAACAGGCTCAAAAAATCAGTAAGTTTTATAATAAAATCATGCCTGGTTATGCAAGTCATAAAAATTGAGTTGAATTACTCATTTCCTTGTTTCTTCTGCCAAGGACATTTTCCCAAATATATTAGTTAAAAAGCTAAAATGTGTTACATTGGTATGTTCAGAAGAGACTTCTAAATCTTAACACAGGGTTCATCACAGATGCCTTCTGCTGACTTGATAGAGCTTAGAATTCCCTTAGCATACGTTTATTTATCTCATCTACATCCCAGCTTCCTACCACACAGAATTCCTCTGAAGTGTTTGGAAGCTGGACCATTAGGGATCCACCACCCACTCTGGACTTCCTGGTCATGGGTGTCACTCCCTTGAGGACAAACTGGAAAAAGATGCAAGGGCTGTGTTTGTGCAATCATGGCAGGGGAAATAAGCCATGGTGGCTTATTTCTCCCATCGCATGTGCTGACGGTGTGTCAGTGGAATTTAGTTAATTCCCCTTGCCGCAGAGGTTGCCACGTAGCCCAAACCTGTTGGACATGCCTTGCTGTGGTGGCCAAAAACAATCAAAGAAGCCATGGGCTACTGCTGGGTGGCTGTCCAATCCCCATAAGCCATGACAGGTCTCAAGAGGCAGGGAAGTATGCTGCTACGCCTGCATCTTAACAGCCATGGTGCTGGCCCAGGGTCTCCAGGTGTGCCCACCTGAGCCATTTCTTCTTAAAGCAGAGCAGCAAAGTATCAAGCCCTTCCTCTCCGATGCCTCAGAACAGGCAAAAGGCGTGTGGATTGCTCTCTTTCTATCTTGGTATTACTTGGAGTGATCCATGTCTGAATTAGCCTGGGACTTCTATGCTGTTCGTGGCCTGCACCAGCACTAGCAAGGCTAACTGCATGAGTTAGTTGGTCTGTCCTCAGTTTGAGCCTATAAAGCCCTACAGGGCTGGGGACCATAATATGTGATGGAGCACCTCTCCTAACTGCAATCTACCTGGGCCTTGACTGGTAGCAACAAGGAGAAGGGCCTTTTTAGTGGTAGCCTCCAGTTATGGAATGAGCTCCCCATGGAGGCCCCAACCCTAACTCTTTCAGCATCAGGTTAAAGCTGTCCTCTATCACAGGACATTTAATTGATTTACTAGGGCTTTGTTAGTTGCTTAAATAGACTGTTTTATTATTTCATATAAGCTATTACAACTTTTTATATGCATTTTAATTTGGTTTTACATTTTGTATGACAACCTTTTAATGATGTTTTTAATGGTGGTATTTTTATACCATCGTTTTGTGTGTGGTAATCCTCCAGGGAAACTTGGGCTGCTGGACAGTATAGAAACAAATTAACACTTGGTTGAGGCTTGTTGTGTGAAACTGTGTAGCAGATATTGTGCTAGGGTTAAACCACCCTTGCATAATCCACAGACTGTTGTTGCACTATGCAATAGTTGTTTAGATTTTATCAAACCCCTGTCTGCTGCTGGGGTTCATGCAACACAATAAACTGTGACTGAATACTGAATATTCAAAATAGCCATGTCTGTACACTGGCATGCACTGCAACCTACCATGACTTCAAAAAGCAAGCCAAGGTGGGCTGTCTGATCATGTGAACTGCGTAATAATGTGGAGTCCATTGGGTCTGAATTTACTGGAGGAACCAAGACAACATTCCCAGGGATAATCACAGAAATTTACCTGTCACAGCCAATTATACACAATCCACTGCCACACTCAGATGCAGTTCAACAGACTTATTCCATTAAGTCATATTTTACTAACTTCATATGAAATAAAAAATTTGACAGAATGTTGGCCTTAGCCCAAGGAGACCGAATTACAATGATATTAAACTTCAAACAATTTTCAAAGCCAACAAACCAGATGCCTACAAGAACATCAGAGCCTGCCATTTTGTCCTTTGCTGACCACAACAAATGCATCTTCTTCCTCCTGCATATTTCAGTGGTTGGTTCCAGCAGGTTACAGTGGCAATGCACAGCCGTGCAGCTGGTTGCACTCCATCTCCTCTTCTAGGCATGGCCAGGACAACAGGGAACAAACTGAAACAAAAGGGTCCTAAGGGGGGAGATCCTTAAAGAGATGCAGAGACGGCCAACAGAGGAGAAGGCCGGCTTGGTCATTCTACCAAATCAGTGGCCACATCTGCTTCTTGTGCCAGCCTGCTCAGTGAGTTCTACCAGTTCACATTCTTTCCACCAACCCAGTCATAGTCCACGTTCCATTGCTGCATTTTTACTTACAGACACAGAAGCCCAAACGTTTTGCTTTACTGTACTTTCTCCTCTGCATTAATAACAAGGGCATTCTAGTTCCATGGCAGATTCCATGTCATTAACCTACTTCATTACTGAATGTGTATCCTGAAATTATATGATGGCCTAAAGCCAAACATACCACCCTGCCTGGGGGTGGGTGGGAGTTTAACAAGAAACCAACTTGCCTCTTTGATGCTTGCCAGCACGAATATAAATGGAGTTCTAATGTTTGAATGGAAAAGTGAAAGCCATCCGGTTTTATATATTACACCTCCTTCAGCAATTGAGCTGCCCAATTATTTTGATGGCACATAAAATCCTGCTTTCCTTAAGAAATCCCCAGCTGTGAAACTGTTCTAGAAAGCAAAACCATCTCAGGCAGGAGCTTTGAAAAATCACAGAAGATGTGCAGTGGGAAAAGAGCAGAGCGAAAGGGTTCCTTCTCTGGCATGGGGATGCCAGAGTCTCCCAGGACTCTGCTTAGAAGAGTCATTAACAAGCGAGTGACTCATTTCGCTTGTCTATGGATGGGGGAGGTCACACGACAGATCTTGTTTTCCCGCTGTCACAAAAATACAGCCGTACTCAAACTAATTTAATTTAGAAACTTAAGTGTATATTTTGAGTCTGGGGACAATCTGGTTTCACAGGCCAGCCAGCTTTCTTTACCAATGCCTGTTATTTAAGGCTGGCTGCATTTTATAACCAGCTTTCTTCCCAGTCCACAACACTTGAGACCAAGTCCTTCCTCCTTGACTGCTTTTCCTATTCAGACTCCATATTCACTATTTCAAGCAAAATACCATCAGCCAATTATGACACATCTGGGAAAACCATGCTGTATGCTCAATACCTTCAACAGTAAGACTGGGCCTTCAGCGTCGGCCACAACATTAGAATTTTACAGACCCTTTCCAGGGTCAGCACTTTCATCCCCTACAGACCTCCCCTCCCCTCCCCTCCCCTCCCCTCCCCACATTTCTTCTCTTTGCAAATGACCCGCAGGTGCAGTTGCCTGGTATTTTTTCTTCCATTTTCTCTACTTCAGCTTCCTGAGAATTGCTACCGATGCATAACACCAAATCTTTAAGCTTCACTTCTGCTGCTGATTAAAGGAGCAAAAGGCAATCAGTTTAACTTAGTCAATAACAGATGAAATGCCTGCTTACCATTGAAGCCTGCCGACTGGTTGCTACAAGGCTGGACGCACCATAATTCGAGCTCAAGCTACTAATTGGCCCATTATGGGATGGTCCCAGTAAACTGTGTATATCTCCATGTGCTCCGGCCAGACTGGTGGAAGGTCCCACGGCATGGTTCCTCAGCACATTGATAGCATCATCAAGTCTGTCCAAGCGATCCTCCATCCGTGACTGCTGTTGGGATTTAGGAGGAGCACTAAGGTCATTTATTGTACACATCTGCTAAGTCCATTATATTGTAATGCTTTCTACAACAGGAGACATGAAAGGTAGTAAATGAAATGCAATATCGAAAGGGTTTCAAAAGCAGCTACAGCATTGTAAACAAATGGGGAAACAACTGCTTGAGGAGAGGAGGAAAAATTACTTCTATCTCAAAAACAAAGGGTTGCTTCTCAAAATTAGGGTATTTCTATTATTAATGCTGTCTATATTCTGGAATACAGCTTAAAGAAAGGAGAAAATCAGCAACACACTTCAAAATCTAATGTGGATTAAAAATGGAACACTCGTGAAGCTGCATAATTTTCCTGGAGAGTCCAGTAAGACGGTGGCTTTTTAGGGAACAAATGATTGCAAAACTGAAAAGCCAACCCAGCAAAGTGGATATCATCTTAAGACCCGGGTCCAAATCTCCCCCATCCCTACCACAAAGCTTGGAACGGCCTTAGAAGCTCGCCATTCCACAGTTCCCATCATTCCCAACTAGCACAGCAGGTCATGCTGGCTGGCGATGATGGGAGTTAGAGTCACTGTGTTTAGAGGGCACCTGGCTGGGGAAGGCTGGGCCAGCCACTGCACCTGCCCTGGTGGTCACCTGGTGGCTTAGGCTTCTTGCACCTACTGCTAAAATTATGTCAACATTGGCAATGTTCTACCAACTGACAGGGCAAAATGGTTGAAGGAAGGGATGTGCCATCTATGCTGAGCTATACTATGGTGCTAATTAAGGAGGAAATCTGTAAGTAGAGTTAAATGAAAAATCAAAAAGGCACCATTTAAAGAGAAATAGTACCTCACAGACATCCTTTAAGAATGACATAGCATCTTGCAAATGCTCGTGAAGCTGTTGCTCAACTCGATTTTTCTGGCAAAGTCAAGACAGAACAGGAAGCAAAGCACAGGTTAAGTAATTATAAAGAGGTGAGGTAAACAGCTGGTGTGTGTAGCAGCCTGAATGGTTAGTTAAGTTAATCCAACAAAGATTTACTTATACTGAGGAATGAGAGGATAAAATGCTGGATATTCTAGTAACATTAGAAATCTGACTTGCACGTACTGCTCACATTTATTAGCAAAATGTATGGCTATAACAGAATTATTTTATTTGTTAGTTGCATGAAATAAAATGTTATTTGGGAGAACTTGTAAGATTTACAAATCCTAATGAGTAAGCAGTGCTTGGTCCACCTCCTAATATTGCAAACATCAGCACACCAGACCCCAGGCTAGATCAGGCCTGTGTAGCCAACTGGATGCCTGTGGGGAGGAAGCCCACAAGCAGGAGATGATGCTATCAGCCCCTTCCTGTTATTCCCAGCACAGGTACACAGAAACATGCTGCCTCTGTGCCTTGTGGCAGCACATCACTGTGACCTGTGGCCTGCTCCTCCATGGATCTCCCTGCACTCCCTCCAAGGCTGTGTGGCCCAGTTCCAGTTCCACACCCTGATGACCCCCCTGCGTTCTAAGACCATGAGAAAGGGGAAATATTTCTCCACACCTTCCTTGATTTTATAGACCTGTCCTGTCTCCACTTACTCACCTTTTTACTAACCAAAAGCCAAAAAATTGCAACTTTCCTCATACAGGGGTTGCATCAAACCCTTGATCCTTTTGGTTACTGTTATCTACACCTTTTCCAATTCTAAAACATCCTTTTACAGACAGGTGATTCAGAAGGCTCAGATACAACCAAACCATCATCGCTGGAAGTCAAGGCAACAGCAAAGGAAGGCTTGCATCCAATGTCTATGCCAGTTTCTCAGACATACGATCAACCTTGCCTATTCAAATAAAGGGCACCTCTTCATACTTCTGTTTGCAGAGAGCAGCCCACAGGCCAGACATCCACCCACCCACCCACTCACTAATTGTTGGCATTAGGGTCAAAAAGGGAAAAGAATCAGAGAGGGAAAGAAGTGTGAAATATTTTATCACAACTCTTTTCTGGCAAGGCTCATTCTAAGAATTAGCTGGTGGCTTACAAAAAGGTAGCAGAGTTTCAAACAAGACTATCACACCAGCTGTCTTCAGCATACAAGCTTGATGCCGAAAGAACAGATGGCAAAAGGCCCGCCCTGCATGTTTGGTATTGTTCATTTGAAGACAGCCATTTGTCAGCAAAGAATCCATTTGTAATGCTATCCTACTGTTCTCTTCAGGGACTGCTGGATTTATTAAACAAAACAAGAATGCCATCTCTTGGCAACAAAGTCATATTCAGCTTTAAGGGATTCTTACCAAGGAGTGCAGAGAATTTTCATAGTTTGGAGACGAAGGGGCTTGTCCTGCAGTCCTTGACCACTGACTGGCACCTGTTAAGATCAACAGTGATGAAACACTGATGTATATATGAAAAAAAAGAAAATATAAAGGCAATCCCACTACAGCAGAGCACGCTTCGTATGTAATTTGTAACACAAGAAGTGCTGGCTTTCAAAAGTGCTCAAGCTGCTTCTTATCCCTTTGATGGATTTGTGTTTTGGCCTTTGCAAATCTCCTGGAATACCAGTCCTGGTAACATGGAGGCTGAGAGAGCTCTAGGGTATGCTAAATTTCTCAACAGATATAAAGATGCACAATGGATACAAAATTAGTTGTTTCAGTCATTTCTATGGCACAGCTCAGTAGAAACTCTCAATAAAGCAATTAAAACAACTATGGAAATGTGGACTAATCTAGTGCAGCCAATTCCAGCACAAATCACTGGATTCTGGCTGCAGCACGTTGGAGTTGCAGAACTTTCTCCAGTCTACACATGAACAGGATTTCAGCCTTAGTGATCCAAAGCCTATATATTGGATACTGGCCTTAACATCAGACAGATGCAGTGACCCCTTGCTGGCCTACATGGGGCCAGATGCATGAAACCCTTACATTCCTTTCAACAGCGTAGTTCTGACCTGGACATAATGAATACACTCAATGCTAACACAACACTGAAGTGGAAAAAGTACAACTGACAAGTGCCACAGTGGGCAAGCTTTCTTTTTCACAAGCCTTCTCTTGCCTCCACCCGATCCTCCCATGCACACGCAGTCATAACAATTTGTGTCACGGAGGCAGAGCTGTCCCTGTTTACTCCAAGCTGCAGGTCTTTCTACCAGTATCTAAAGATTATTGGGGAGAAAAACTTTGCTGCTGAGCTTTCAAGAGAAGGGATGTCTTCTGTCCAAGCCAAGAACAAGGGAGGCTGAAAGGAACTCATGGGGACTCTGGAAAGGATGCCAGCCCAGCCCAGCCCAGCCCAGCCCAGCCTGCCCCCCCCACCCCCCACCACCAGAGTTTTCAGTAAGGCAGCATAGCTGAGGGAAGCTGAACTCCCAGGAGAAGCCCAAGTTCCCTTGCTTGTGATTCAGCTGCCCTGCAATGTACTTTTTTACCCACCAGCAGGAGAACGCTTGGTAGATGCAACAGGGACTCCCTGAGCACAGTGGGGTGCTTCATCTCAGAGAAGGAATGGGAGGTCCTGAGCAGGCTCGCTCTCTCACTTTTTTGAGGGCTGAGAAAACCAGCGCTGACTTGTCAGGCTGGTGCCAGAAGGCATGAGCTCCACATGGCACCCTTCAGCTGGAGACCTCACAGGGCCTTTCAAACAGTGGCATAAATCCTTCCAGGCCGAGTTCTCCCTGAGATGGTGAATGGTGGCTTGGGATGTGCCACTGCAAGTGGCTTGTGGCTGCTCACCTGACTGAATGCTCCCTGCACTTGAAGAAACGGTGACTGGTCAGGGAGACAACCACCTTCCCTGCCAGCGGGAGCTGCGTTGGACTTTTCAATCACAAGCACCCCTTGCTTGTAGCAACACAGTCCTGTTTGCCCTTTGAACTTGTTGTGTGAACTACAGCAGATACCACCCAGAGGAGACGTTTGGCTGAGTTTGGGGTAAAACATGTAATTGAAAGAGACCAGGGAACCTACTATACTCCATCCCAACTGTTACACACTGGGACTGCAGCCAGCTTCAGCAACAAGACAGATCAGTGATTTTGCCTGTAGACATTTCACACGCTAGAAAATGAGGCAGAAAGGCTGTTGCGAAGGTTTCTGTACTACATACTATACGAACGAAGGGCTTTAAGCATTACATCACCCAGCTTTTAATACTAATTCCTTGTTAAATAATGAATTTAAGTCAATGGGTCTTTCTTAAGTCCTCTGTGTGTGTCAAACAGCTGTTTCGCATTCACCACACAGCTGAGGCCCACGTGTTTCTGCAAATGATGCAGAAGCTGCCCGAAGTATACCTCCATGCTAAAAAGCCACTCACCCGATTCCTACAAGCAGTTCACAGGGTTCCAATATTTTGTTCTAAAGGCAAGAATGCTGCTGTTTCAGCATTCCCTTGTATCTTTCAAAAAGCATGGGTAAGAAATATGCATAAAGCACCAAGGATCATTTTTTCAAATGCTAATTCAAGCTTTGTGGTTGCATTAGTCAAAAATTCAAAGACTTTCTGGGTGATGGCTGAGGCGGTTTTCTTAAAACGCCTCTGAAGCAAACAGATGTTTAAAAGTTACTGTTACAAAGCTATTAGAAATTGTCGATGCATGCTACCCTCCCAAGCCAGTGGGCTGTTGAAAAGGTCTACAGATTTATTTACTTGCAAACCTGAACTATGCATACGCCATGTACACCTCAACAGTTACGAGATCAATTTTCCTGTAAAGTTTCACCTCCCCACCCAACACTTTTAAAAAAATAAGACTGAGCTTGCTAAGCTATACAGAGCCTAATTTACACCTATTTACATGAATGGGAGAGTGAACCAATGAGGCATTTGAAGCTAAAATTAGATCCTTTCTGTCCTCAGAAACTTCTCCAAGCATGATAGGAAAGTAACTTCGCATTTTGCTTTTACCATAAACTTATCACAAAGCCCCAGTGGAGCCGGGTCCAAAGGGTCCTTTTCGCCTTAGAGAGTTCATTCTGCTCCAAGTTGACTTTGTTTTGACTGAAGTTAACATTCTCAGAGTACCTATTTGCAACATGGATTTCGTATTTATAGTAGCCTTTAAACAACAACAACAAATCCTGTTAGGCTACTGTGTTACCTTGGACCCCTTCCATTGCCCATTATCATATCAGCATTTCACCCAGGCATGTTTGTTTTGCTTTTTTTTGTTTCATCTTCTGTTGCTTTTCCAAGGCTTCCTTGGAATGAAGGAAGCTTGCTTAATGAAGAGTGCTTAATTGGTAGGCTATTTTTTTCTCCAATCATATGACACAGTCTTGTTCGCAGAACAGTTCAGTACTCAGCAGTATGATGCTAGAGACCCACAGTCCCTAAAACAGAGTTTGTGTTAGATATTTTAAAGGTGTGATACCAGTAATTTCTAGTTTTAATATTAATCTCAATTAATTTTAAAATATAATGTTATCTTTGTTTCCAAATTAGGATTTGAAAGGCGTCCACTGGATTCCATTAACAGACTGATACTTTTTTTTTTTAAAGGAATGCAAGGTTAAAAGTAGCTGACAGCACAACCCTACTGAAAAAGTTTTTTTCCCCACAGAATTTAAATGGATTAACTCCCTAACAAGTGCACTTAGGATTGTAGCCCACACGACCTAAAACATAGACATTTCTATTAAAAAAAATTAAGAGTGAAATCTTGGTTCTGCTACATGGAGTAGAGGAAAATAAAGAAATTTACTTATCATGAATCTCTTGGAGTGTCTTCTTCAGCTTTAGGATGGGACCTCCCTAATTTCTAGCAGTAAATGAACACACTCTGAAGTCAGGGCAACATGGGTCTTCCTTGATTAAAGCATTTTAGAACCCAGCTGATGGTTCTTGGAATGTCTCTCCAGTATGAGAAACATCCTGAATACTGTAATATCCAGGATCACACCCAAATGTGACAGTTGCTCATTAGGATGGATCCAACACAGTATTTTTCTGGTTGACAGCAAACTTGTTCCTGAGATATGTCGGAATCACCTGGAGTGAGCAGGTGAGTATGTCAGCATGTCATCCAGACAGAGCCACCATAGCACTATCAGGACCTCCATGAACTTCCAGAGTGCTGGTGTGAACCCAGTCAGCCCTGCCTTGCATTAAGCGAGGAATTTGCTGAGATTGAAGCGAAGGTGCCTCTAGCTGATTTCCTTGACGGTAACATGTCCATGTGTAAAAGGGAGCTCTCAGCATGAACCACACTCCTGAAGAACATGGCCAGCCTGGGCAAATGCACATACAGCACTGACAGAATTCACAAGATGAAACAAAACAAAGTCATGCTGTGTAGCCCACATGCACATCAGGGTCCCAAGCCAGCAAGTGGGGGTGGCCGGAATAACGACATGGCGGGAATGATGCCTGAGCATCTACAGGTGGGCAGTGGAAGATGGATTGGTGGCATGGCTTACAGGGCTGCTTCTAGAACCAATGGCAGGATGGAAACCAAACTAGTTGCTGGCATGGAAGAAATTGGGCAGACTGTGTATCACTGTGAAACCAGACTACTATGTCAGTATTTTTCTTCAGGAAGGCCTACATACTTAAGACGGATGTAAAGAGAAAATTCAGAATACTGCTAAAAGAAGCTGGATCCTACCTGTGAGAGGTGATGGTGATCCAACAGGTGTTGAGGGATTTGAAGGAAAACTACTGCTAGTGTGGTCAGGAGAATAAATCTAAATGAAAAGAAAAAAAAAAACACGTATTTGCTATAATTGCTATATGCTAGAAAATGGACCATACTAAAGACACCATAGTTCTCCTTGAACATGTCTGAATGAGGTAAATTGCTATGATAACTGATACAATTTTGCTGTAATTGACTGTAACCCCTTTCCAAAAAATAACATTTAATCACTGTTTCAAGCATTAAATAATTGTGCATCTGACCATGGGAAAATAATGAAGGATTTCATTATTTAAATAAACTTAAATAAACATAAGTTAAACTCTGGGACAAATGTGTCCCATTTCTTGCTTACTTCCAAGACATTTTTGGTTGCCCCATACCCCGTGTTCTACTCATTTCAGTACACACCTTCCTGTTTTGTGGTTTTAGTTCTCAATGTTAGAACATGTTTGCTGTCCTTACTGGGAGTGTCTATGACCCCAGCCAATTGGCTTCTCTACTGTAGAACATTTGATAAAAGCCACACAGACTATTGAGCACATGGTGGCTCAGGAGTGACCTTCCCCTCCTTTCTCCGCCTGCTGTTATCCCAGGGGAAAAAGTGGTTGCATCCTGTTTTTCCCTGCTCCCCACAGCTGATGTGAGCCATTCTGGTCATGCTGCAGCTTGACATTTTATTTTTGAACTTTCTTTTGGGAAGTGGAAGAAGACTAAAAAGTCACTTGTCTAGACAACTCCCATGATCTTAATTTTGGCTAGCTGCAAGCTTCCCTGCCAAGGAACCCCAGTGACACTTCGGAGTATCGCCCATGGCCATTACCCCTTAAAATGGGTTTTTTCGGTGACTATACATGCAATAACTGCAGCCATTTTTAAAACCAGCAGTGGCCCTGCTTCTGCAGCTAGAACAATTGGGTTTTTTAAACTGGGGGGCGGGGATTCAGACCAGCAAGGGCGGTTTCTGGCCAAAATCAGCAGTCACCCACCCACTCCAGGGTCTGGCACAGGCTGCAAGTGCGTATTTCCCTCCTCCCTTTGCATTCAAATCTCACAGGCTGGGACTGGGGGCGTCTTGCAAAGCAGCACTGAACTTTGTGCTGTCCTCTCTGCAGGGCATCTCCTGGTCTGAGGGGGAAGATCAGGGAATCACAGTTGCCTCCCTCAGTTTTGCTGCGAATTGGAGGGGAATCCCACTGACAGGAGGAAGGGCTTTCTTTGGCATGTGTCAAAGATTACCAGATTACCCTGCTTACTGGGATTCCCCCTAAGCTTTGCTCTCCCTGAGATGCCAGAAACACCATAGACCTCTTGCTCTCCCTACAGCCCAAGAATCTTGCGTGGCACAATGAGGGATCTGTCTCTGAAAACACCCTTTTAGGCTGGATCTTTGCTTTAATTGTGTGTGTGTGTGTGGGGGGGGAAGTTATGGCTCTTGGAAATGCAAGGTCAGCCCAGGCCACATGAGCACCCCTGATATCCAGAAGCTTTCGCTGCTCACAGAAACTCCCCCGCCCATTTTTTCCCATCGCAGGGGCTGCATGTTACTTTGGGAATGTATGCTACCTCCTTGGGATACACAACCGCCACAGGCACTATGGACCTCTCTGACAAAGAAAGGAAATGAAAATGAAATAGGCACTGAACACAGTGGTTACGTTGCACAATTCCCACTAATTTAATTTAAGGCAGACTTTGCCCAAGAGGAGGATTGTTTTTGCTGTCGAGGTCCAATGAGGAGGCGGCTAGTAGGCTGTTCAACTGTGCACCCCCCTCACCAATGGGAGCCCTCCTTGCGCAGGTCATGGCCCATTCGGACCAGCAGGGTGCCATTAGGCCAGGTTCCAAAGAAAAGAGCCCCCTGCGAGGCTGGGCAGGAGGCCCTGGGGCACCTAGCCTTAGCACTGCCAGCACTCCCTTTGAAGGCTTCTGAGGACACTTCAGCAAGGCTTTGTCATGCTAATGTCACTGGGCCTCAAGCAACAAAGCCATTCAGGAATTACTTGGAAAAGTCAACTTCCCAACATTTTCCTCTCTTTTGTTCGAAGCATACTGGCCATTTAGCTATCTGAGCCACACAAAGGCACTCCCCCTTGGTTTGGAGGTAGGAATCAAAACATAGGTTCTGACAAAGAGATTTGATATAATCAACAAAGTTAAACAGCCCTCCACTTTGATCTCCTTTAAATTAAAGACCAAGTGTTTTGATTTGGCATTAAGCACTGAAACAAACCAGATGTTTCTCCCGCCATATAACCCTCCATGGGCACAATCTTAAGGGTTATTGTTTGGCAAACGTTCAGGGAAACACATTAGAAATGGCACAAATACCCAGATTTTCTTTGCTTTTATCTACACTGGTTCATTATCTAAACCAATGTATAATCCATTGGGCTTTTGGAACTCTGTGTAAATACTTTCATGTACAATTCTCTTTCTTGCCTACTCTGAGATTAAGACCACAATTATCCAGGCTTAAACCTAAAATAAAAGAACCTTTGCAAATGTATTATCTGGCCTTACATGTTTAATCATGCAGTCTTCTGCATGGTCTTTAATATTTAAACTGAGGAACAAATGCTGCATCTTCTGATGTTTCACACATGAAAGGCTCAAAACACACACACTGGGAACACCAGAATTTACTGTAGCTAGGAACACCAATATTTAGAAAGCAGGAAAGAAGAACGTTTTCACCATTTAACTACTAATACTATGACAACAGCTCACAGTGCTATTAACAGGAACATTTAAAAAATAAAAAAGAACAAAAACATAGTGGTTCCCACACATGCCTGTTTACTTGTGGAAGAGCAACAAAAAGTAGACTTTGTATGTCTCCCTGTTTGAAGCAAGGGGAGCAGGGGAGTGGCAGCCCAGGATTGCTGCAGGCAGCCCTTCCCTGAAGCTGATGGGGCAAGCGGGAATGCGTCCCCATTAGCGATGACAGAAATGATTTAAGGAACGACCTGCTTGCTCCTGCCAAGTAGCAACACCACAGACAGTACTGAGTTCCCACAGCAACCAAAGTCCACCCTCCAGTGCAAGCACTTGCTTGGACATGAAAGCACAGTAACTCTATACCCCGCTGGCAGCCCCAGCCGCCTAGCCGAGTGAGCCAACCCTGTTCCTACCCTGAAGCCTTCTGCTTCAGAAGAGTAACCAGAGCAGAACCATTCCAGGGCTTTTCTATTGAACTCCCAATGAGGAAGCTACTGCGTTCTGCCTTCAAGGACAGCCAAGTGCAGCCCCTGGCCACACAGGTCTTCCAGAGGGCTGCTGCCTGACCTCCTACAGGAAGCAAGGGAGACAGGTGACAAGAGGGTTTCCTGGTAGGTCCCTTTGGGGCAGGAATTCCAGTGCTGGCTTCTACCCTCTCACTACTTCCTCAAGAGGTCCTGGCTAGCTCATAGGACCAAAGCCAAGCCTGACTGCCAGGCAGGGTTTTACATTCTGGCCAACTCAAGCCTCTGCTGGAAGAATGGCCATGTCTAAGAAACTGTGGGGCTGGCCTATCACAGGAAAAGTAATCAGAACGAAGGGATAATTCATGAGGTTGTTGCTATCCAGAGCCTTCAGGTGTTCATTTCAAAATATTTCTCCTTAAGGCCACATCAGCTAGAGAATATCCACACATGTAATAAGAATCCTGATAGACTTCTGTGGATTTTATTCAAATATCTTCATTGGGCAAGTGCTGTTCAAGTACAAAAGGAATTAACAGATATACAGAAGACTCATCTGATGCATCAGGTTGATGCTGATGTGAAAGATATGTCCCTGTAACCACAAAGAGCCATTTTTATCTCTTGAACCAAAAGTCTTCTAAATGCAGCTGAGGTCTGCTGGGTTTTCTCCATGGTCTCCACCCAACAATTTTTGCATTGTTGATATATGGAGATGTGCAACATTTAAAAGACACACCTTGAACCCAAGAGGTCTCTAGCTAACCTTGGCTTTATTCACACATTTCAGTAAATCCAACTTTACTGATGTATTTTTAAATCTTCCACCTTCTTAGGCACATTTACATCTTCTTTTAAGTTACCCTGCAAGTGCACGCTCCCCTGTCCCCACAAACAACAACCTGAATTCAGTGGGAAGGAGCATCAGCACTGGGGGTCAAGGGACTGATTCCCATCAATTCTGCACCAAGTCTATGTTATCTGCCTACTCAACTGCTCAGCTTTCTTCAAAGTGACTGCCCCTTGTGGTTGTCTCTGGACAATACCTTGGCTGGGTTTCATGGGTGTTCTGTCACACAAAGACACTTTTGAATGCAATAACAATAACTTTCTGTTTTTATATATACACTCCAAACCCAGGTGTCCCGAGTCTATCTTGATCCTGTCTCAAGACTCACTCTTACAGAGTCAATGCCAACCCCAAGGTCAAGGAAAATCTTGCCGTGGATCTGTGTGTGTCTGTTGTACATATACAAACACACTCACAATACATGATGGACATGGTATACAGTATCTACCTGATACAAACAACACAACAGGAACTTGTAGTCCTACAGCTTCTTCAGAGGTTAGTACTTACAGATGCCAAGGCTTTTCCAAGGGCATCCCCAGTCTGTGAGCTTCCTGCAGCATTGCCTCTGTTAACTGTAAAGAAACCACAAGAGAATGTTGATTTAAACACTAAGGATGTCTGCAAGATGCCACAATGGAGCACTGATACTCTCCAAAGGGATAACCTTGACTTAGAAAGGAAAAATGTGGGGCAGACCAAAGGAAAGTTGGATTTGCCTGTGAACTGCTGCTCCCAATGATACAGAGTGAGGGTAGTCTTGATTTTCGGGAAGTGTTTCAGTTACAGGCAGACAGTGCTAGAAAGGAACCTACCTCAACATACAGCCAGGAACGAAGACCCTAAACCATTTGCTTTAGTTCACATAAATATATCTACCCCATTCTTCTTGCACCCCTGCAGCTCTCTGAGCAGCGTAAGAGCAACAGATTTGAAAATGGTCACAGAGCTGCATCGGGACATTCAGGGAGAATCATGGAAAAAGCAGGACAGAAGGCGATCCCCAGGACTCTACCTAGTCCACAAGCCTAGAGAATTCATTTGAATCTGCCTTGGTCATTAGCTGCCTCTATTTTGGAGGCTTGGTTGACTGGTCCATCCTGTTGCTACTGAAAAAAGGAATTTAAAGGCAGGTCCAAATTCCCCGTTTCCCAGTATGCTACACCCTTCAGATCAGTACAGTTAGACAGAGCAGAGGTAGTGCTAGATCCTGAACTCTATGGAAAGCAGAATTCAGCTACACTTGTGTGCAAGGCCTACAGCCCCCAGCATGCCCCAGCCAGCCATGTTACGACCCGCAGGCCCGTTTTCTGCCTTAGCATGCACAAGACTGTGCTGTTCAATTCTGGAGGCCAGATGCAACTGCAACTCTGTTTTAACTCCGTGGAAGATATTCTTGATTAACTGACAGGAATTAGACTATGATACCCGGTTAGATGATGTTACTGCTAATTGTCTTGATAGTGAACTCTTTGGGAGGTTCAAAAACATGTTGTTTGGGGGGGGGGGCACAGAAGAAGATGCCAAGGTCAGACCATTTGCTGCTCAAATTCCACACAAGGAATCTATGCACTACAGGCAGATTGGTAAGAAAAGCAGCCCTTGAAGAAGAACAAATTCAGCTACTAGACAATATAAAAATCTCTCTCACACCCCCCACACTTATAGTTTTCATATTTTTGAACAGCCTTGGAAATGAGTTGGGAGGAAAAGTGCACAATAGCATTGTCAGTCTGTGGCTTGTTAATTAGTCTTCTTTCATTTATATTATAAACCTTGTCCAAATCATATTTAATCTGGGAAGGTCAGTTTGCCACAACCAGATTATCCACCCATCTGTACCGTTTGAAAAAACAATGATTTCATCACTCAAGGTTAAACAAAGCCAAAGAGGCCTCAAATACCTTCTTTAAATCTGCTTTAATGGATTGATCATAGGATAATTGTGATAAATGACTGAAAGGACTACAGAACCCCCAGTCAGGGCTGGCCTGCCACCAGACACAGCCAAAAAGTGTCACAAAGTGAAACACATGTTCAAATCAAGGCTGAGCTGAAACATCACCTGAACTTGACTTCTAAAAACTAAAGTCAGGAATTAGAAACAGGGAAAATAAGGTGAATGTTGTTTCAACATCTATTTTCCCTGGAAACAAAAGTCATTTCTAGGCAAAGTCAAGTTGCAAGCGCAGTCACAAGGACTACCCCCAGTACAAGCACAGTTTAGATTTGCTCAGCACTTAGGGTTTTAGTTTAGGAATAATGTCTATATCTAAAACACAGTAAGTTCCAAGTTCCACAAGTAGGAAAAAGGAACATTTCTATGTTTTGCTCTTGAGTGGGAAACAAGTTAATGAATCAAAAGCTCAAACATGCACCTTCTTAAGACAGTCAGCTCAGCCCTGAGAAGTGCATAATACTACCATATATATAAAATTCCCAACTCTAAAGCAGAATTCCAACAGTCACAACTGGTTATGCTGCACTCTAAAAGCATATATCAGAACAAATTCATGTTTACAGTCTTAGTGGATATGTAAACAGTCATAGCAGAAGTATACAGATTTCCAGATTAGCTACAGACTTTACGTGACAATTTAAGGACTCAAAAAATCTTACCCAGTATGTTGCTGTTATCTGATCCATTGACAGGTGGAGTGTGAGAGGCAGTGGCATATGATGAACTGCTGGTACTACCCCTGTGGAAGCTAGACATTGGAGGAAGACTGGCGTTTATATCTGTTGGTGAGACTGAATGTGGGGGATAGCTCTAGGAAAAAGGAGAAACTGAGAATCACAACCAGAAGTAGTATGAGCACCGTCATTAACAACAAGCAAAGTAATGCACAATGCTGAGTTCAGAATTCAGGTCCGAGCTGCCTTGCTGGTCCACATCAAAGGTCACTGAATCAAGCAAAGACCAAAAAGGGGCTTTGGTGAAATGTCTACTAGTTATTCTCTGCTTGTTCTCGGTAGTTGGTAGCACAGGATAGACTCTGGCCTATCATGGCCACTGGCCACTGGCAGAGCATGTCATTACACTGGGTTGCACAGCCACTCTCTGACTAGCTCCTCACCATGGAAGGCCAGGTTGGATGCTGCTGCTGCTACTGGTTTTAAAGTTAGCACAACTCACCACTTCATCTGATTTGGGGAAAACAAATCATGATCTGAACTCGTGCTGTGATCCTACCTTGTTTCAATAGCACCTTGCTTAAACAACCCTCGGTCTGCAGTGCTGAGGTTTTAGAAAAGAAAGCTAAGTCTCCCAACCGCCTTCCTGCAGCCAGCAAAGGGGAGGGGAAGGAGGGTGCAGAGGCTGAGGTTCCTGTAGCTTCAGTCACATCCTGGAAAATTACATGTAAACTAGCAAAGGGATCTGGATTATCTGAATCTTTAAAGAGACATTCAGCTGAACGTTCATTGCCGCATCTCGTGGAAGTTCATGTGAAAGGCACAGAACTGCGCTTCAACTTCTAAATGTGGGCATACCACAAATGTCTCAAAATGGGTATTTGTTGCAGTATTTTCAATCCCATTCTTAACTGTGCATCTGCCTTTTAAAAATGACCAAAACCTCAGAATTTTTACACAGAGTTTTCCAGTAGAACCCGGAGCTCTTGTCCTGGATATTAACATCCAAACTGAATGTCATCAGTAAGCCCGTGAAGCCAGCATATTTCATTTCAGTATCACTTCGCGTTCACTTATTCATCTGCCATTTTGTGGCCCAATCACCTTGTTTAGGGAGAGCTCTAAACAAGAATTTTCTGCTTTGGGTCTTACCTTCTGAATGATAACAGTGTTTCTGGCAAACTGGGCTCCCTTGCTGTGTACCCACTCTCCAGATAATTTATGGAACTATTAAGCCACTGCCACCCCAATAAATCAAGATCAATGGCTATAAAACACCTGAGAGACTGTGAAAACTCTTGGATGGCTCCTCCCCAGTGCTTGTCTTTTTTAAAACCCAAATTAAAAACTTCTTAGCAGACTGCCATTACAATTAGTATGACTGAATTAAAGAAGGTGGACAAACACTGAGAAAAGAGAAAAAAATACAATATAATAAATAAAACTTTTCACTGAAAAGGGAACAGACATCTTTATTTTCTTACCTGTGTCCTATTGGAACAGCAAATGAGAACCCCAACAGTATAAAGAAGAAAGTGAACATACCCAACTTTCACTTATATGTGCAGATTGAAACTTCTGCCTGCTTATTAAGTTGGAGTATCACAGATTGGCCTTAGCTAACTCATCGAATGATTAAGCTGATTAAAGAGTGAAGACCAAGCCATGCCCACTCCATTTCTGCATCCAGCAACAGCAGTCTCCTAAAGATGGAGAGGCTTAACCACCAACTTCCGGCCGACTCTACGGGGACATCTTACCAGGCGGTCATGGGCATGCCGACTGCCGTAACTGCTGGAGTGTGACAGGTGAGGGGAGCTCTCCAGCATTCCACCATAGCCAGGCTGGCTTATTCCATTGGAGGGGCTCCAAAGGTCTGAAGCACTGTGGGTCCCATCTTCATTTTGACAGAAATGGAGGAGAAAAGGATGCAATCTTAGATGGAGTACAATCTCACTTATGAATAAGAGCATACATAAAACGACCCACTTCCTCTTTATGCTCATGTCAGACAAACTTTATACCTTGCCTATAATTTTCTTACAGGTCTGATGTGGTGTGTACGATTTCTCCCCCAGACTCCCTCTGTTCAACTTAAGTCTGATCCAGCCACAGCTGGGAAAGGCATAGCTAATTCTGAAAATGTTTATTAGGCCTTAATTTTACATTAATGAGGGAGACTGATGTGGGACCACAGTTCAGTGGTAGAGTTCCTGCTTTGAATGAGAAAGGTTTCAGGATCAAACCTTGAAATCTCCAGTTCAGAAATTATCTCAGAGAGGTGATGACGGGTAAGATGAGTGTTCGGTAAACTCAACATAGAAGACTGCTTGTTTCAAACAAGCAATTTCTACTGATGCATTCCAGTGCCAGTAAAACATACCATGAAAAAGTATACTCTCCAAAGTGTGACCTCACTGCCATATAAAAAGCAAAACTAGTAACTCTTAAGCAGTTTGAACTGTTTCCATATATGATGATCCAATGATTGCTAAGACACTCCACAGCCCAATTCCACAGCACTGGAGCCTTTTCTCTTAATGTCCATGGCTGCACTTGTGCCTGGGAAGGCTTCCCCAGGCACCCAAAAAACCTTGGCACTCCTACTCCCTCACGGCCTTGTTCCTCTCCTTCAGGAATGTAATCTCAAGCTGGAACAGGACAATGAGCTAACAAGTCCATGTACATTTCTAGGTTGAATTTGATGCCCGAGTAGCCACACAGAGAGTGGAATGGCTGGGTGGGAAGGAAGGGGTGCACCTTCTAAAATGTTAGAAAGAAAGGCAAAAGGGAAAGTGTCCATTTGAAGGAGGGGAGGGGGGAAGAGCAGAAAAATCCAGCAGGGGAAAGAAGGGAAGCAACTGGAAGCAGGAAGGGTAGGAGGAGAGTGTATGCGTGCTTCTCCTTTCTGAGCTTGTTCTTTCCTCCTTTCTACCCATGCCTTTCTTTATGATTCTCCTGTCCCTTCCTCCACAGTCCCAGTCTGGGTCTCCTTCTACTCCTCTCCCCTTCCCCTCTCCTCTCTCTGGGCCTGCTTCATTCTCTATTTTGAATGCCTGATTTGATTCTCTGTCTGGGTCCCAGGGCAGAGAAACGGGATGAGGGATGAGGTGGCTGGCTAAGAAAGAGAAAGAAGGAAGAGTGCAGGTGATGGGGAAGGAAAAAGCAAGGCAGATGATATTCTACTGTTTTAGGATGACATACAGCAACACGGCACTGCCAGGAAAAAAGGGGCTTATTACTTTAAGCATCCCCTGGAAACAATCACCCACCTAGGCAGACCTGTTGGCGGTCTAAACCGCAGGCACAACATAGCAGCAAGTCTATAAAACCTGCCATGCCGGAATACAGCGCACGCGCGGAGGTGGACACCACTGGGAGAGCGTCACCCCTTACGAGTGAGGTCAGAGCAGAGCTGGGCAGACGTTCTCCTGAAGCTCCTGTGCTTACAAGAGGGAGGTGCCTTAATCTGAGTGAGGCTGCCAATCCATGAGGTCAGTACCATCTGTAGGTGGCTCGCCACGATTTCAGACAGGGCCTTTTTTCAGCCCTGCCTGGGGATGCCAAAGGACTGGCCCTGGACCCCACATGCAAAGCATGTGCCTCCACCTTTGACCTATGGCGCTCTCCAGACCTGCTGAACAGGCCACACTTTGTACAAATAAGCTTCTGACTACAGAAGACAGAAGGATCTAATAGCTGAGCAAGACAAAGGTCTACCACATGTGTATCCTTAGGCACCCTACCACAGGCCCAAGCTGTGAACAAGACGAGAGGGGTGGACAACCTCACTGCAGTCTAACCACTTTCACTCAGCAGGTTAAGAGTAGCATTTCCCAGAAAGAAAGCACATACGCTAAGCCTGGACCTATGTCATAAACTATGACATGAACCTGCCAATACTCTCAGAAATTCAGAGCCACCTGAGTAAGTCTGAAAAAGTGGCGGGAAGGTGACCAGGTGCAAAAGGTGCAAAAGGAGTAGAGGTTCATTAACTTGCCTAGAATGTTGACAGCATAATGTCTCATGGAGAAGCAGAAAAGCTGCCCAAGTCAAAAACACCACAGACCTGTCTTCCATAGGGCTGATTCACAGGCAGGCCCTTTTAACAGGATCGCTTAACAGTAACCGCATTCATGTTTCTTTTGCACTTGGATTAAGATATATATTTAAGAGGAGGAAGGGGTTTGTGCTGTTCTGCTATCCTAGGAAGAAACTCATGGATATTTAGTCAGGCTAGGCCAGGCCACCTGGAGACAGCCTCAGCCTCGCTGTGGGTGCACTAGCCAGTCATTATGGTGGGCTATCATTCAACACTCTCTTGACAGGAAGGCACAGAATTTAGGCCAGTTGCCTGCTGATGTGCTGGCTTCTCTTGCCTTTGCCATCAAAACAAATAAGTATGATCAGTGCTTTCTCTGGATGATACCGAGATGTCACTGAGATCAATCAGCTGCAGCTGCATCAGAGCACAGGCAGCGCACAGCGTCTTCCAGGAAGTGGATCTATGCCTCTCCCTCCTTTTCTCTACTGTGGTTCTCCTCTCTGCAGGGATGTGTCTGGGCAGAAGCACCCATGTGGCCTTTAACTGTCCTCTGCAGCAAACGGCACCTTTGCTATATGTATGACTGATGGGCTCTGCTGAACGTTCAAGCAGAGCTGGGTTCAAGATCTCATGTATTCCCATCTACCAGGAGGAACACTTAAAAAGATTGCTCTCTTTCTTAAACAGTCGTTGTAGCTGACTCTGAACCCCCTAAGCACAGCAGCTGAAAGTCTGGAGCTGCCCACGGGTCACGGCATACGATGCCAATTCTGGGAAAGTAGCAAAGATGCCAGCTCCACCGCGCTTCTGGTTCTAGCCCTCCTGTTGGTTTTCCAGGTTCAGGCTGTGGCCAGAAACATATTTTAGCAACTTCACTGGATAGGCCCATCATACTCTTGCTGTAAAAGAGATTGAGCTACTGCAGTGCAAGTCTGGCAAACTCTTTAGGCTACTGCACTGGACTCTTATGGAACAGCCCTTGACAAGGACTCAAACTTTAACACAGAGAACGCAGCAGGAAGCTTTTTCCAGATCAAAGTCAAGGTGTCAGTTCTGGCTTCATGGTCTGGGATGTGTAAGGGAGGGACCCATGGTTACTTATGCAGAGATCCAGTAGGAACTGTTTTGCAAGTGCCTAGCATTACTGCATTGGTGGCAATGGTCACAAAGCATTTTCTATTCTAGACTGTGAAAACAAATTCCAGAAGAAATCTAGGAAATATAAGGTGGTGTTCTAAGCTTTCTGTCATTCAGATTAGCTGAATGTGCAAGTTAGAACTGCAATTGCTGCTTGCCCGATATATTTAACTGTCTGCTTGTGACACTGATTTTATTATAGCTGGTCCCTACCTTGGGAATATTTTGCTGGAAGGCAGGTTAAACACCTTCTGAATAAATTCATTAAAAACTGTGGTCTTATACCAGGCAAAGGGAATGTGACTGCTTCTACTGTCTTCATTGAGTAGTAGCGGGCAAAGGAAGAGGCTCGTCATGCCAAAAGTTGCTCTTCTTTGGGCTCTTCCACACTGGGGGCATTCAAGATGCAACTGGACAGTCATCTCAAGGGGATGGTTTAACTTGGGGTGCTGCACTGAGCAGGGAGTTGAACCTGATGGCCCCTTCCAACTCTACCATTGGATGATTCTTTGATGTTAGCTGCACTTGCACAAACCCCATCTTAGGACAAGGTTATGAGGCCAACAGACTGTTCTGAAACCCCTAACAAAGAGAGAGGGTTCTGCTCACTGAGGCTAGCAGTAAATAATTCATGCCCATGAAACCAAGAGTGCAACCCTATGCCCACTTCCCTGGGAGTAATCCCTCACTCAGTAGCACTTGATTGGGCATAGATACAAATAGGATTGTATATTTTGAATCAGGCAGTTTCAGGTTAGTATAAAGAAATGAGACAGGAAGAGCCCACAGCATGCCTTATCTCCAATAAACTCTCCCAAGTTCAAACCTTAACTCACTGCTATACATTCACTTGCTCAATTAGCAACTGCTTACTTACCTTGCAAAAAGAAAGTGCTAGCAAACATACTGCTTGGTGGTTTAGGAGACGGGTAACTTGGAGATTCTCTATTAAAGTCATCTGAATTAGGGGACGGTGCATAGACCTAAACCCATGAAATATAAGGAGAAAAGGACACATTTGTAAGAGCTGAAAGTCACAGTCAAGGTTCCAGCTGCACCCAAGCAGAGTGTGGAATACTGAAACAACTGCACAGCAGGCCCTGAGCTCGCAACTTAATTCCCCCACTGAATGTGCTTTTTCAGGAACTCATCTAAGCCATTCCAGCAGGTCCAGGCAGTCCGCTCTTCTCCCTCCAGGGAGCTGGTTCAAGCAGGCAACCTGATAAACTCAGTGGGCTGATTCACCTAAGCAAGCACAAAATCTCTCACAAGCTCACTGTTCCAAACATGGGCAATTTCTGACATTGAGGGGAAAAGGGGCAGGGAAACAGCAGGTTTCCTAAACAATGTATGAACTGAAAGCAACTCTGCTTTGTTCAGTGTCCACTAAGCTGCAATTCCAGGAGTTAAGTAAACGTGCACATATTCAAAGGAGTAAATGTCTGATATACCACACTGCTCCAGGTAGAACAACACTGGGCCAGACCTTCGACCTATTGCTTATCTAAAATCTCAACAAGCAACCTTTGCAAAGCTGGAAGAGCTTTTCTCTCCTTCCCGTCATACCCACGTTAGGCACCACTCCCATTCTATGTTGTAAACAGCAATGCTTCCCTTGCCACGGTTTCTCATAATGATAGATGAACACCACCTTCATTTTAGAATCAGCCAGACAGTCTGAACTGAGGCTGCATCTGGTTAATGCAGATTTTAGTGCTACTGTGGCAAGGCGCTTGCTTTGTGATCAGTCTCCAGCCTGTGAGCTCCCTGTGTGTGCACTGCTGCTGCCAGCTATGCCCAGCAGGTCCACCAACCCTCCAAGATACCTCTATGGGTCCCTCAAAGTCTCCCAATCAAAGGCTATGCCCACACCACGCTCTCCGCGAGAATCAAGCAGTCCACTCTGCCATCCCAGCATGGCTATGGTCCTGCCACCACTCCTGCTTGGAGATGATTGGTCTGACCGATACGTTTTCCCTACTGGACCTATGAAAGCTGACAACAGAGACACAGCCTTCTAAAAAAGAAACAAGATCTTCTGCATATACCATACATGGCCTCTTTTACTGCTCAAAAAAGGAAACAACAGTGACAGCAAGAATGGAAGACTACTATTTAGAGTATGCAACAAAACATTCTGCAGAACAAACTGGAAAATTTAAGTGGTCTGCTATATGAGTTTTATCTGCATATCAAAACCCAAAGTCCCTTTCCTGCTCAGGCTATTCCTTATATGCAAATACCTCTATTGAAATTCAAAGGCACCACACAAACAGAGGACAGGGTATATGCAATAGAAAACTGGGGCTCAAACCCTTTTGTGAGCAAAAACAATGCAGCTAGATGCACAAGGGAGACTGAGAGGAGGAGGAGATAGAAGTCACTAAGAAATATTCTTGAAATTTACATTTATACTGGGAATCCTGAGAAATTTAATTTAGCACAGTACTGTTACCATTCACAGGACATCCACTGGTACATAAGCTAAATCCCTCTACTTCACACTCATGCACACACTTATTAATCAACTGTTCAATTTGAAGCCATCACAATCTAAGGAAAAGAAATATATTGGTTGAACTAAACGTTTTCACATATACAAGCTTGAAGTTCCTCCATTAAGAGCCACAGGAGAAAAACAGACATGGAAATGAAAGGGCTAGGCAGTGGCAAAGCACCCAGCTCAGAAATGGCTGGAGACCTGCTCAAGTTCTTCTGTCTATTCTAATATTCTGAACAAGAAGAACCTGAAAAGGAAAATTATCTGCAACCAACTTGTGACAACAGTATGTTTTTAGAGGCCGCTGCATAATAACACATGTAAGAAAAGTCTCTTCAAACAGGACCAGAAGTGTTCCAGTGCAGACACACAACTTTATACAGTTGTGCAGTGTTCCGGTATCTTAAGTATAGCTTGCAAAAACATAGCTGCAGTGATATCAAGCTGCACTTCTTCCAGTCTGGATTTTAAAGATCAAAGAATTCTTGCGGCAAAATACAACTGATGTGGTCTCAAAGACTTCATTAACTCCAGATGTGGGGAAATTCCTGCCAATTCCACAAAAAGAGCAAGTTTTCCTTTGTTACAGTCAGAACCACCCACAAATTAAAACCAGGTCTCTTAAGTCATCTGATCACCTGCAGATGACTGTCAGTTTTTTTCCTGCCCTGGTTAATCACAGGTTTTATTTTTTGTTACTGCAAACAAAAATATAAAAGCAGAAGGGGAGAGAAGGATTACTGAGATGGTGAGATTAGGCAGCCTATAAGTAACTAGACCCATGCTTAGCATTACAACTTGACAAAGAAGATATTTTAAACCTTCAATATGGGCAGATGCTTTATTCTAGCAGGACAAGGCAGAGGACCTAGTCTAGATGTTCACTGCCGCAAAGCTGCACACTTAAAAGTCTTCTTTCCCTTCCTTGTGGAGCACTAAGTAACACAAAGGTAAATGCTCAGCAGTGCTCCTAGGCTGGCAAGGAGTGCCAGGAGCAGCCTGTGGAAAGTCCTTCCCACTCTTGGCAGGGATGAATGGGCACTGTTACCAGGCCCAGCACCAAGGATGGGCACGGTCAGGCACCTGCTCAGGGACCATACCCCAGGCAGAGACAAAAGACAAGAACCTGACCCAGAGGTTCAGGCATGCTGGCTTTCCATACAAATGTAATTTATGCTCTTAACTTGTACTGGCACCACCCTGCCCAAAGAACCAAGTTAGTTCCACAGAGCCGCAGGTCTGAAGGCACACATGAACAGCTGCAGGTGGCTGCAGAGGGGTCAGAATCTAATGGTCTGTGTGCTTCCTGCCTAGCAAAAAGGTTTTTTCATCAACCACTTCCAGTTTTGGGATTTTCTTGTCCAGAAAACCAGAACCAAAGGGCTCTCAAGCAGAAGGGTCAGGAGAAAAGCAAAACCTTCTTACTCACTTGCATACACAAAGACTGCTTGTGAACAGGGGCCCTTCAAGTCAATGAAGTGTCTGGGTTACTGCTAAAAACTGTGAAGTTGGAAATAGTGTCCCCCCCCCGCCCCCCTGCTTGCCAAAGAGCATACTTCTGATCCCCAGAAGGGGCTGTGCACAGGACCCTACACTTTCACAGCTGAAAAGAACTCTCGACAGCAGTGCTGTTAGCAGAAAAGACCAGCCAAGTAGGACGTTTCTCAGAGCAGCATAAACAAAACTGAAGCCTTCCCCTCACAGCCTGAGTTAGCCTACATTTTTGTTTAAACAATGCTGACTGACTATCTAGCCAATGATGAAAAGCAAGCCTGAACTTCCTGGCATTCCTAAAAACTCACACAAGCCTTCGGTGTCTCACGCTTTAAGGCACCATCTGACACCCTGCACGTTACAAGGGCCCCCTGCTTTGCAGCACTGGCCATCCCCAGAGCCTTCCTGAATGTGGGTGTGGGGGGCTGGGCTGGTGGGAGGCTGTGGTCAGTTGGAGGTGTGGGGATGCACCAGCCCTGCTGCACAATCCAGAAAGGGTGCTGAGCTCGGCTGACATGGGCATTCCCCTGCCCCAACATCAGAAAATACATGAGTTCAAAAATGCCAAGAAACACTTCCTGTTTAGAGAAGGAAACAGTAAGCCTCAGATGAGCAGAGCTCATGAAGAGAACGGCAATCATCAGGAGAAAACACACTGCCAAAGGTTGCTCTCCATACACGTTGTTTCAATTGGTTTTAGTCTGCTTTAGCTGATTGTGGTCTTGCACACTTTGAAAAATGAAAGGTTATATATATTGCAAACAAGATATAAAGAACATCTAAACTCTATGAAGCAAGCTCCTCTGGTGCTGCTTTTAAAATCATACTTTTACAACTGTATTATTATGTTTGCTTTTATTCTGAGAGTTTTAAAAACACTTGATAAGGAGAAACATGACTGAAAACTGTCCAGAGATCTTTGTCTGTGGGGTGGCACAGAAATTAAATTGAACAGACAAATAATGGAAGTGTCTTAAGTTATGCACAGCTTCAAGAGCACAGACAGGGAGCCTTTTTTCTCCCCCTCTCAAGACGAGAATTTGGGTGATCAAATGATGAGTAGCAGGCAGTGCAGGACAGATAAAAGGGGAGTGCAGGAAATAGCAACTGCATCTCTATTATAACTTCCGAGGTAAAAACTATGGAAATTGCTACCAAAAGTTGTGGTACCGGCCACTGTTAGGAACGGCATTTATATACTGCTTAAATATAATAAAATCCCGAAGCCATTTTCAGAAAGCTTTAAAAGAAGGTCAGGAGATTCATGGAAGATGCGGCCATCAATGGCTATCTTTGGATGGCTACACGCCATTCCCTCCAGCAAGGTCGTCTTGCTTGCAAATGGCGGAAGGGCACTTGCTTGGCTCCTGCGGGAAGAGAGGCCCTTGGTCTTACTGAACACATTCCATCTTGCTCCATCGTTTGCTCTTACCTGATGAGGTGTACTTGGTCAGAAAAGCTCCCACCCTGATAAATGTGTTAGTCTGCAGGGAGCCAAAAAGCCTTGTTGCCATTTTTGTTGGTGCATTGAAGCATCCCTCTGGAAACTATCACACGATTTACTGCCTTTGTCAAAGGGCACAACAGTCAAATTTTAATGTTGGCTTCTCCACATACTTCCTTTTCCTTGAAAGACGTGTAAATCCAAATGGAAAACAGCATCAAACGTGTTTTTAACTAGTCAGTGCAGCATTAAGAATTTAGAAATATTTCAACTTTTATTAGAGATGTCTTTCAAGCATGCAGCACATTATTTGGAAAAGAAAACTTAGCAAGTAAACTATTTCTTAATTTATATTAAATAATAATGAAATCCACCTATAAATGTAACAAAAATGGAGAAAATAAAAACTGTGTGAACTTATTTCATACCTAGAAACCATGCTTAGAATAGATAATTACTGTTGTGACGGTCAGTTCCAAAATACAACAGAATGGATAAGCAACCTTTTAAAGACAAGACAAGAAAAAGAGAACTCAGAAAAGCCG